ATTAGAAATATGTCATGATGACAAATAGACGTAAATCACAGAAGAAGACTTCTGCTTATATAAATGGAAAAAAAAGAAAATCAAGTCTTATATACTTGTTTTTTGTTAGCTTCTTTTTGTGCAAAACATCTCTTATTTTGTCTTTTGGATAGTAACTTATTTAATCACTTATCCACCACGGTGGTCTCGTAGTGGTGTGCTCAACTCGAACGTGGGAGTCCGTGGCTGAGGGTCTGGATGGGGTTCAGAATAAAGAACAACGAAAAAAAGTGCAGAATAAAGGGCACACAAATAAAGATTACAGAATAATAAGGTGCTAAAATATAAAGATTAGAGAAAAATGGCTTACAAATTAAAGAATTACAGAACTGAAGGACCACCCATCGATCTAGACCCTTTTGGATTCGATCCCTGGTCGGGTCAAACTAAAGACTTGAAAATTGATATATGCTACTTATCCGCTAATGAAGTAAAAGCAACGATGATGATCTAGTGTCTACTGGTATAGGGTGACGTCATTTCCTCTGTGTTCAGATTATATGTCTATTTTATATCACATCAACTTGATCTCTTCCCGATATGCATGTAATATTTGCCAATTTTTCTATTAGACCAGTTGAAATCGAATGAATATATTTGTTTTCTGATTTTTCATAAACAGATTCATCACTTCTTTCATAATAAAGTTCTTGTGGCGAGTAAAAGCAGCAAAAAGGCCTCCCTAAAAAGCAGAATGTGTCAAGCATTCGATGTTTTAACGATATCTATAATTATGTTGATAAATTGATATAATGTATAAATTATAATATTTTTATATTTTTATCTGTAAAACAATCGTTTTGTAGGTTTTGCAAGATTAAGATGGAAACTAATGATGATTTATTACGGATCCGATGTGGTTTGTCGTTTGTCACAATTTGCGCTTATAAAGTCATGTCCCTTGTTAATTTAAAAATAAGCAAATTCGATGATTATGGAGGATTACGTTTTTCATCTTTAGCCTTGACATTATGGGACAAAAATGAAAACTATCAAATTAAGTTTAATAAGTTTGATAATCACAATAGCAACTTTTTAGGTTCTGACGTTACAAAATGTATTTCCCTTGAACCTTTTGGGGAAATTTTATGGTTTCCAGGTTATTTGATTGTGTATATAGTTCCAGCTTTCATATGCTACAATGTGTTATCTTGATATATTACAGAGGTAGCAGTGGTAAAAGTCCAAATTTCATAGTTAATAATCCAGTGGCTAGTATTCGGATTACAACTGACAATACCTACACATGGTACAGAGTTGATAAAGCTTTGATCAGTTGAGACGTAAATATCAATATAAAAGCTTTTGGCGATTTACTGTTCATCAGTTATGCCCCTTGATAATTCGAGATTCCCTTTTCTTCGTGGATTAATCTTCACTTACATTTTATTTAACCGATTTTTTTTTTGTCTCACAGAAATGACTGCTTTAAGTTAAACACTTGTAATTTTTTTGTTTGAAGGACTGGTTGTCCACTAGGAAAAAATCTTTCGACAAGTATCATACATTTTGACTATAGTATGTGGAACCGAGCAGGTTACAACCTCCTTGTTGAAACTCATTCAGAGGTCATTTGTCAGCTGTGTAGACTTTTTCATCATCTTTATTAACATCTTTATTTCATTTCATTTCTTACATTTTGTTTTTGATATTTTGTCTCTTTATCTTATCAGAAACTTTCATTATCATTAATCAACAGTCAATTAATAAAAAAGGACTTTAAATGGGTACGATGCATCCTTTCCAATTATGTATTAATTACAGATCTTGATTAATGACTTAAATCAATCACGAATTTCTAGTTCAAAGCAGTTAAAAATTAGAGATATATCATCTTCAATTGTTTGTTCAAAGATATGATGTTTATTAGATAGATAAAAAGTCATAAGATTAAAAAGTATATTTTTATGTTTTTATATAATTCTAGTATTAGCTAAATGTGTACTAGTATATGATAATTATATCGGTAAATCATAACATGCCTCTGAAAAAATCAGACATAATTTACCTTGATATACATTTTTTTTGCCGCTGAAAAAGGATATGTTAGAAGGAAGCAGAAATGTGGCTTCATATAGGCCATAAAGGACCCGTCAAAGACGTTTTAAAGGAGTTCTTCAACGTGCAGAAAATTATTTCTTCTTACCCGAGGCATCGGATTAAAAGTCTTTTTCTCACTTGACGTAGCTGCGTATTATCATGTCCGCACAGTCAAACTGACGTCACTTCCGTTTTACTGCGGAATGGGAAAAGTCAAAGAGATCCATTCAAATAAAAAAAAACCTTTTTAATGTACGAAATAACTTTGACAAATAAAGGGGGAAAGGCTATAAGGTGGTTAGAAGCATTCATGTACTTCTCTGTAGATATTTTCTATTGAAATTTGCTTGTCTGCATGATGATTGTATACACCGCGAAAGTCTTTCAAATGATGGTCACGTTTTTCATTTAAAGCTGAACTCTGCAAATTGTCGATGTCAGGTTACTTGTTTTTCGTTTTGGTCATGGCGTTTCTCTGTTTTTTTTCTACTAGTGGTTTACTTGCCCCTTGGTAAAGTATATTTTCCCTCTTTTGAATAATCGCACTTTCTTTTTTATGCTGAATTTCATGTACATTTAGGAAGAAAGAAAAATATATAGTTCATCAATTTTAAAGTACATGTAGTTAATAGAAAGTGGGTCGACCAGTTTGAAAGGTTGGAAATTGGAACTGGAAGAACCTTTTTTTAAGGCCCTTTTTGGTTATATAGCTCTTCAACTGTTTCGGTTTTTACACACCATTGGCTTTCAAATATTCGGCTTTGAGCGTTCATGATGAGGGTAAATCAAGAAAAGAGCTTCGGACGCATGATTTTTATTTAAGGAATGACTGTAATATTTTTTCTGTCTATGAAGAAATAACATCAAAAATGTGGTGCACACTGAATAACCCGCGTAGCGGGTTATTTTAAAGTGTGCACCACATTTTTTATGTTATTTCGAATAGACAGAAAAAATATTACAGTCATTTCTTATAATTTAATTCTAAATTCCATTTTAAACCGTAGTAAACCATGAAAAAACGGTCACATGACTAAATTATGTCTATGAGCTGATAAACAAAACAACGTCAGCCAATCAGAAGACACGTTACATCCAAAATTAAATTATTACGTGTTGTTTTAATTTTTTTTTGTAGAAGAGAAGAGAATATGCTGGATAGGTGCAGAAATTAACCTTTGCATTAGATCAGCTACAGAACCCTCATAGAAATTTAGCGCTGCTTTTATAACTTTTATACACACGTTTCACTTGTCAAAGGACGAATTACAAAATGGAATTACTATGTAAAAATATATTCTAAATTCGTTTCTACTTTATAGTATTTACTAAGTAGAACATCGAAAAAATGATGATTACATTAATAAGTGTTTAACATCCAGTGGAAAATATTACAAGCTTATCAGGACTAACACATATTAATGTGATATATGATTATGATCACTGCTTTGTACAAGACTGAAAACTGAGTAGGATTTTAAAGGTTCTAGTTCCTCTGGTAATAGTTATGGTTTCACCGGCACGGGATCGACGACAAAAATGCAATTTCAGAAATATTTATTTGAAATTTTCGTACAATAGAAAGTGTCGAATATTTTCTATTTTTTTTATCATTTTGATTTTCATGCCGGACTTACCATAAATCGCCTACTCCGTTTAGCCCTAAATATAACAAAATGACGCGTATAGATCAACTAAACGACGTGGAAACACAAATAAAACATATTATTGCGTGTTGAGGAATATACTTAATGATAAGAATTATGCGGAATGATCGCCCAAAATAATTTAGACATGAGTTGCATGGAATACGAGATGAAATTGCCTCGTTGAATATCAGGAAAGAAGCTATATGCTTGAAATGTATAGGCATTAGATACACTGTATACTGTAAACGGCATACGACAATATATAAAATGGATCACAGGAATTACCAAAAATATTGGACAGTACAAAGACCCAAAAAATACCAAACAGCCTACTCCACCAGAAAATGAAACGATCAAAATAGGAAAACAACAACGCACAACTCATGGTCCAGATACCAGATTGGCGTATTTTTTCACGTGGTTTGTATAAAAAAAAACAAATGTGCTTAACATTTGCATGAAATCACAATTAAAGCCTAATGCTAACTCCTTGATTGGTTGATTAGTATTTTCTTAACGTTCAGTGGCAACTATTTCTGGACAATTTAACACATGACTCAGTAGTCGTCTCAACTCTAGCAACAAAATCCGGACGAGAGGGGATTGTAGGGTGTCCGTTGGCGCATAGTCAGATGCAGGAACATCAAGGTTGAAATTTGTATCTATACATTTCAAATTTTAGAATGATCTAAATAATGTAGTTTTCATTTAAATGCAGTTCCCGAAAAAATATATACAATATTTGATAAAAAGTGAAAGTAATGCGAATAATAGTGAAAAAACTATAGATAAGTGAATACTAGTAAATAATTATGTAAAACCATACATATTCAATACATATGTCAATCTTCATAAAAAAATCCATCTTAGCTGAGTAAACTTTTAGTTGTACAGCCTTAGTTAAGACGCCCTGGATATATATGAAATAATTGCCACTGGACGTCAAACAAGCAACAATCTTAATTATTTTATTAGATATGAATACACTTTATGAAAAATTCATTGCATAACAAGATAATCACAATGAAGGATTTAACATGTTTAACGTGTACACACAAAAAAAAAACAGAACGCTTATCTACACATATGTGACGTACAGTGACCATAAAAAGCAAAATCTACCAATTCGTTGATTAATTGGCGGAACGAGATTGATTGACTGTTTTACGAGATTTGATGTCCATTTCTGTGCCAAGCTTGACGGATGTATATCATACAACCAATAAAATCATTTTAATATCGCAAAATATGTATGAAAACCCTATGTTGTTACGGACCGTCAAGTAGAAAGCGTGATTAACGCCAGGATTTAACAAAATGGCGCTGGTCCAGGCTATCTTTCTCTTCACCGTTATTGGTATGTGTTTACTTTTTTAAAATTTATTTCAGTCTACCAAAAAAATAATAATGATAAAAAGATTAATAATATCCAACAAAATTGCGATGAGTCATCGTTCTTACCGGTTCTAAAATGTTTGTAAACCTTTTAACGGTAATCGTGTGAGTGTACATGACTTATTCACGTCTTTTTCTTGATATAATGAAGAGAGATATAAAGAAATAATGAGAAGAAAACGAAATTATTTCAAGAAGTAGAACAAAGTATAACTGTTGTTTTCCATTCGTTTGATGTGTTTTAGCTTTTGATTTTGCCATTTGATAAGGGAATTTCCGTTTTGAATTTTCCTTGGAGTTCGGTATTTTTGTTATTTTATTTTTTAATTCACTTCCGGTCGTACACTGCTATACTAGTTGTTTAATAACGTATATGTATTTGTTTAACATGTTTAAATTAAAATATCATTCGGATTTCTTTATTCCTTATCTTTAATACACAATACATGATACTATAGTATATATAGAAAACCCAAATAGAATTTTCTAAACAATTGATTGTTAACATTCAAAATGTGGGAACAGTACGTACTTGCTTGTTACGTTACTGATCGTTACTGTTTAAAATTATTGACAGAATACTCTCATTTTCATGATTGCTCTCCGCGCGGGCCGTTCAAAATGTCGATTGCTGCGCATGGAGATTGCAGACACTTTCATGGTTGCGTTTGTATTGAAACAAGGCATAACGTCTATGGTTTTAATTAGATGTAAAAATAAAAATGAGGAATTCTGAACTAATGGCAGGACTTTACTTATCTTTGTTAAGGGATTACATTTACATTTGTATTTATTAATTTACTTGATACGATTGAAACCCAGCAAATATTGTAAAAGTTGTATATATTTTTGAAGACCTTTATGGTATCCTTTAGATAGTAAACCAAAAGGAGGTAAATAGGTCATCCTAGGATTAATCCCATGGACCCAGAAGTTGAACTTACGTATTGTACTTATTGTTATATTTTTATCGTCCTGAATATTCATGAAATACTAGTCACTGGCCGTTTAGCAAACAATATCAATTAACTTTTATTTCAATCTTTAGTTTGTTTTGTTACTAGTATGTTGCTGTCTAACAATCAAGTACATTTTACTTGTAGGGCGACTTTTTTTTATTCTAAAAATATGTAAATGAAAACTTAATATAATAAACTGAAATAATTTAAGGGAAGAAAGAGCTGAAATATTGATGGACGGCTAGACGTCTAGTGGCAAATAGAACATGCATTGTAGGACGAATATGTGTAAATGTGTTATGAATATGAACCAACTTTTGTATAGGCCGACAGTAAGATTTTAAACTTGTTTTATCACAAGGTAGCAGTACTCAAGAAACCTCTCACCATCATACTCAAAAACATTATTCTAACTTCGATGAGACCAGTCTTTGTTCTTACTCCGATCAATGATATACCACGTGCTAACATATATATAGCTTAAAATAATCAAATACCAGTATCTAAGTATTTGGCAGATCGAACCCACATTTCCTGCACCCAAGGCAAGCACGCATTCACGAGACCACCGAGGCGGTTCTTAAAAATTACGAAAAACAATATTTTACCATCCAAAAGCATCCCCACATCGTCTTACTAAAACAGATAAAATGAAAATAAAACATAATAAAATGAGAAAATAAGAAAAACACGATGTGATGAAAACATCAAGAGAACGTTTTTAGCTAGATTTAAGAACCGACCATCCTTGGTGAACACATAGATATTGTAACATTATTTGATGAATGCATGCATATACAAGAATCCTTTTAAAACTCAGAGCATAACTAAAACAGAGCAAGAAGAGAATTAGTATTGTTTTCGTGTTTATGTATTGTTAAAAAAGAGCATTTGGTCTGTTAGGTAATATCTCGATTACATGTAAATAAATGTACCGATATTCTAAGGACTAGTACGTAATATATGAAAAGATCTCCTTTCATACAATTGAGACACATAACCATAAACTGATGTTTATTACAATGAACATACATAAATTCTGAATTTATTTGTAAATCAGTTTATCATAAAATGCAAGCAAACATTGTGTAAGCAATTATTGTCATGAATATACTGGAAATCATAGTCGTACATTCAACCTGTTCTTTTGACAGCTGATTGATTAATTGTATGAAGCACTAGTAGTTAATTATAAATTAAAAATTGTCAAAAAATTACTAACGAAATATATTAATAAAACAATATAATAAATAAAATAAATAAATAAGTCAAGATATTTCAGATAGTTAATATTTCTGGATAGGATCTGTTCTTCAGGTAAAATCAGGCACTTCTTTCCAAACAGGAGTCATAGATATTTGCCTCCTTTTCCAGTCGTCCATTATTTTATATACTAGAACATGTAGAAGTTTAGCTAATGTTTACGTATCCTGTCCGTTATGTTTGATATGGTCAGCAGCTATTTTGGGATTAAATAATTATCTTGTGCATGCTGTTCATGCTGCATTAAAAGCATACGAACCTGACAACAGGTGAAAATAAATTAAAAGAAATATATTTATTCTCATTGAGAATAAATATATTTCTTTTACTTTATTTTTGAGTCATAACTGAATATATTTAAAAGATTGACCAACGAATACTAGACACAAATGATACATTTATTACACTATGAGAATAAAAGACGATTTTGTGCGTTTTACTTAAACGTTATTTAACAGATAAGGTGTAGGTTCCACGAAAAATCAAACCACACCATTCTTTGTATGTGATAATTTGCCTGACTATCCAACTATTAAATTCAGAACTTAACAAACATTTAGCCTATCTCAGGACACATGCAAAAAGACATTTATGAGATAACTCTCGAAAAACAATTATTTATAGGGCAAATCTTTCAGTTGGACTATAAATCACAATGCCATTTTTATAAATGTACAGACCGAAAAAGAAAAAGTTGAGCATTACACATAAGAGAAGATATTTCAACAATACAAATACGCCAAAAAAAAAATCTGGAAAAATTAAATGGCATGCACCTCATGCACCTCATGCACGGAAAACTTTGTACGGTCTTCACACAGCAAATAAACAAGATCAATCAAATTGGAAAGTGTCGCAGATGACTTAATCTGTTCAATACATTTACGGCTTGCATGCTTTCCACAATTGGTTTGTTACTAGTGTTCAGTTTATTGCAGGCGAGGAGAAGGCGAGTACAGATATTTTATGTAAATCGTGAAAGGTGTTTGAATAATGTTTTTTCTATAATTTTTAATGTAATAAAACTTAATTGACACAAGACTGATGATAAGTAATGAATTATGAAGAACGGTACCTTTGATTTGAAGTCAGGAAGATGATATATCATACGAACTTATATGACAAATGTTGCATTTTGATTGTTGAAATATACCACATTGCAATAATTTATTTCAAAATATAATATACAATTAAAATTAGTTTCTTCTACAATTTTCTTTGATAATTGATTATCTTTTATATCATTTTATACAGCGATAGTTGTAATCAATCATATTGAAATAAAATAGAAAAAAATGTTAATTTCCAAAAATCATAGGAAAAATGATCTCGGTCCCATCACCTTATTATTATTCATATACCATATTAGCCTGTCAACACTGAGGTTGTGAGTTCGAATCCCTCACCTGGCAGGTGCGTTCGACTCTAATCTTAAATAACTATAGGATTGTCAGTTTTCCTACCGAAGGTCGGTGGTGCACTCTTGCATCCTCCGCCAATAAAAACTTACCACCACATAAAAGCCAATAGTGCTGAAAGTTGCGTTAAACACCAATCAATCAATCAATCAATCAATCATACAACACAGTTTGCTTCAAAAGTCAATCATAGCTTCAATGATTGTGATAAAACCGATGACACCCATTTAGTCCTAACATCATTGTTCCTAGAATAATTTCATCAGGAACATTCAGGCCGAACGATAACTGGTAACCTTAAAGCCTTGGTGATCTCTTGGCAGCTTTTTCACCTCGATCGCAGGTGGTCGTTGGTTCGAACACCTGAGGGTCAAACAAAAGACTTGAATATTGTTGCTTGCTACTTCTATTGTCAGCTCAAAGCCAAAACAATGTGTCCGGGTAGGGTGTCCTCATCCTGTCATGTCTTCCTGTTGACTTGTCTTTACATGTTTAAAATTCGGCTCTACGTGAGGGTTAAGTACATATTAATTATAAATATTCGCATATTTGACACTGGACGTTTAAAAACATATGGATCCATCCAATATTTGAACAGTCAAATTAAGTATATAAAGCATCTTTGAGGAGACAAAAAACGTGAAAGTCAAAATTTTCTTTACTGTAATTATTGGTTTTACCATTAAGCATATTTAGTTCCTTATATCGTCGACAAATGTGCAATTAAAAAAAAAATTATGTGGATAAGTTCAACTGTAGATCGGAGGGACTCCACACCCTTGGTTGATCATGGGCATGGATATTAATGATAGATATAATACATTATAAAATACATTTTGTTTAACATTTCAGACACAATTTTGGAAACTGACGCCAGAGGTAAGTTACTTTTTTTTAAATTTTAACTGTTTTTTTCTGACCATGAAATTGAATGAATTTGTTTTTAACGCTTTTGAATGTTACTTTGTGACAAGATCCTCATTCGGATATTTTCAGTTTTTACCTAATCAAACTATCTTGTTTCCAAATTTAAATCTGAAAGATTCTACTGACAAATAAAAACATCACATTACATTATAATGCAGAATACAGCAGTAAGACTCATATCCACTGTTTTTGTTTTACTCACAGGGTCAACATCAGGGCTCTCGGTCATAAAAGTTTACTCAGTACTCGGAGTACAAAATTTGTGCTCGAAACACCAAATCCATGATTTTGATTGGTTGATTTCTGAGTCCGAGTACGAAAATCGTGCTCGAAAGTTTTATAACCGCAAGGCCTGAAGTTGTTAGAACCTAATTGAATTTGAAAATCAAAATGTCTATATTATATGCTTCAAACATTTTGCAACAATTGTACATATTTCCTGTAAAATCAAAATGCTTATAACCACTGTACGTTGTTGTTGAAGAAGCCAGACTGGTTTTGGGGCAATGTCCATAATTTTTATGTGTTTTTGTCAAAGGTTGCATCGAAGGACACCTTAAAGACAGCATTACTTCAGATAAAAACTTTGGTTTTGGAAACAATTGCTCTTCTTATACACTGAATGGATAAATAATGAAATTTTGTCGAATCTTTCCAAATTTTATTTACTTTTTTTGTTGAACTTTTTTTAAAAAGGATAAAAATAACTTATAATTAATAAACTATTTATACTGTTAATAAATACAGATAGCCGAACAATTGACACAGGTGAGTAGGTATTAGGAAAGACTTTGACACAGGTGAGTAGGTATTAGGAAAGACTTAACAGAGAAACCAGATGATATACATGATAATGAAATGACTATAAATGACAAGTGTTACGTATTATATACAACATTATCAAGTGTACGTCCTGACTCGGCTGTTGCCCTCAAGACGCCATATGAATATAGTGACACGAAAAATATATCGGAAAATGCTTTTACCAAGTGAGGAATATGACAGCTGTTTTCATACGTACCGTTGGTTGATATAGTCTCACGTTTGATTTTGTCAGGTTTTATGGACCACCCCCCCCCCCCCCCCCCCCCCCCCCCCCCCCGACACACTTTTTGAATCTACCTTGGTATTCGGTATTTTTGTTAATGCTTTTTTACCTACAAAATACATAGTCACGAATACTTCAATGACTATCTAGACAATCACATTATAAAAACAAAACATCTGAAATCTTGACTCTAGGCGTTGTTTCTTTTTTTGTGTCGATGGCTATTATTTCCCCACTGGCTTTAACGGATACGCCCAAGACATTATAAATACAGGGGATATAAAAACAGTCGTAGATAACATACTAAGGTTTTCTTGGCCATGGTGTTGTCTGATGTTCTACGACTCATGGTTTTTTTTATTAACCGCTTGGTATCTCCTCGTCTGTTTCATATGTTGAATAATTTTAGCCCTTTCCCGAAGGTATTTTCAGAAAGCCTGAGTTTGATTCTGAATTAGTAAGTGTTAGAAGAAATGGTCCAATTACAAATAGTTCAGCTTTAAAGTTTAAACTTAATAGCCTTAACTTGTTTAGATTAATTGGTTAATTGTTCTTCGCTTAATGTCCATTGGCAATAATTTCATGCACATTAAGGACAAAAAATAAATTGACAACGAATCTTAAAGATAGGCGCTCTGCACGTTGGGTCGATGAATGGGTCGTTGGATAAAATTTGACCCACCCTGGAAAATGAGGTCATCTTGGATAGACAGCCCGTCCCCAGACCTAAGAGTTGTAACACTGGATTTTTACGTGAAGAGTGCAAGGCAATCTCCATACACGAAGCATCAGATTTCTTCATAGATATAGGAAGATGTGGTATGAGTGCCAATGAGACAACTCTCCATCCAAGTTACAATTTATAAAAGTAAACCATTATAGGTCAAGGTACGGCCTTCAACACGGAGCATTGGCTCACACCGAACAGCAAGCTATAAAGGGCCCCCAAAAAAAATACTAGTGTAAAACCATTCAAACGGAAAAACCAACGGTCTAATCTATATAAAAACGAGAAACGAGAAACACGTATGAACTACATAAACAGACGACAACTACTGTAATCAGATTCCTGACTTAGGACAGGTGCAAACATTTGCAGCGGGATTAAACGTTTTAATGGTACCAAACCTTCTCCCTTTTCTGAAACAATAGTATAACATCACAACATAGAAAAACACACTATAAAATATCAATTGGAAGGCTTAACTCAATAAAAAACGTAAATTAACACACAATGAACGAATAAATTTGACCTGTGACACCTGAATGCAAATACACAGTTAATAAAAAATTACAAGGGATAAATAATTAAAGTCAAAAGTAAATAAACAGGTTTAAACAAAGTTAAAGTATGATATCACTGTGAAATGTCAAACAAATTTTTAGAAAATCATCACTTTTGAAGAAACCTGACTTGAAATGAAATGACTTGACATAACCATGCATGTAGTGATATACCCTGTTTATTTAAATGGAGGACTCTTGTGTGTTAAGAAGTCTATTGAAATCATGAGATTTAACTCAAAATTGTATAGACATGTGTTATGGATTGTTTTCTTCTCAGTATAACTCGCCATTACAATCAACTTATACAAGTTTACAAAAGGGATTTTTAAGTTTCAATTATAATGTTGGGTATCTTTATATAAGGTATATGATCAGAAGGTTGAGCTGAGCTACAAGTCTTGGATGTTAAGATATCTAAAACTACATAGAACATATTCTTTCGAGAATATATGCAAATGAGCACTCCTTCTAATGTCATTTAGAAAAAATAAACTTAAATATAAAACCAGGTATAAATTTCTTTACATGTACAAAGAGTATGACAAAGAACCAAAATACAAAGAAAAAGAATAATTTGCTGTCGACAATTATTTCCTATTGATGATACCAGAGACAAATTAATTTGATTGATGGATAATATCTCTAAACGACTTTCGCACGATAGCTTTTTTATTGCCACGTAAAACTGTATGATAAATGCTCTTTCATCAAAACTACATAACAAATTGTCAGGTGCAAGGGATACTCGTATATATGTCCTTGCAAAAATTAAAACGTATAAAACAAATACCAGATACATGTATGCACTATACTCATAGCAATAAAATTGTAACTAATTTACCACTTTATTGCTATGAGTATAGCGTATACATGTTAATTTACAATATGACATGGAGTGATGTTATCGGCAATTTGGTTAACATCTATATAACTGAAAAGTGACATGCCTGAAAAAATTGTTCAAACCACCAAAATAGATATATTTTTTTCAATTTCACCTTTAAGTTATAACATGTATAAGTATGTAACCTGAATTGCCTTTGATTCAAAAATATCAGTTTGATTAAATAGATAATTCAATATAAATGCAGTCGTATTGTCAAATTAATCTAAACTTAGATAAATAAATACGCTATTAGAAAATTTACATGAACGACGGTTTTAACACGGGTGCTGTCTTAGAGTTAGATAAGGGTCAATTACCAATCCGTTATTGTGTGGTTCTTAATCACTTAGTATACCTTAACAACGTATTTTATGAGAGTAACATGACGGGTTTCACATGGGAAGCTGGAGATGATTACCCATTCAGGCACATATGATTACCCCAAGTTTTCGTGTTGCTCAGTCTTTATAGTTTTCTATAAAACTCAAGAACACTATAAAGACTGAGGTTTGTGCTTTGCACACTGTTGTTTTTCTTTTTGGTCGATTTTCGGTTTTTGTCATTTCGTTTTGCTAATTTGAAATCGATTTATGAGATTGAATTTTTCTTAGGTATGTCCCACATTCGAAAAAAAATTAATATAAATGCACTATTATCATTGTTAAGGACAACAATATCAAACAGACGCCACAAATACATGCCGGTCAAGTGATATCATAGTTGTTTAGCTGCCTAGCAATTGTAGTCAGGCGAAACAACTGTTCGGTATTTAATCACTCTAATCCAAATAAGGGAGATATCAGAACAAAAACAGTTTAATTAAGTATCATAAAAACTGTTTAAAAGATTTGTTCCTCTTTCAGATTTTTATTGAAATTACGAATTGCATTGCGCTCATGCATATTTCTGTTTCTTTCTCCGGATTTGACTATACGTTTGTCCTGGTTTTGACTATACGTTTGTCCTGGTTTTGACTATACGTTTGTCCTGGTTTTGCTACATATTTGGTCATTTTCGATTACATTAGCACGTGAATAAGGTTTTCAATTTCCGAATATTTAAGCCTACATAACAAGCGAAGGTACATGGTTGGTTAAAATTAATCTTCTGCAGAAAAAGTGGTGTCGTTCAATGTTATAAGAAATAATTTCTATTTATGACTTCAATGAATGAAAGAAGAAAGGAAAACCGACCAGAATTTATCTTTACTCTGCCTAAAATGTAGTGATTTTACAGCTAGAAATGCGTGGCACATTACAGAAAGTAGTATTAAATGCTGGTGGACCTTGTCTTTAAAACAGTCTGTTATTCACCTTCTATTTAAAATGCGTCCCATTTTTCTTCGGACCCCTACGTTCTTTTAAATTAACATCTTAAGTAAATTGACTGGTATTATTAAAAATAAATCTTTATAGGGCGTTGCTGGTCACAATGAGACCTAAAGCAAAGGTTCTTATCGTAAATCTTCAAGAGAATACTTCAACTTAACTTGAGCAAAACGGACTTGACTTACCACGGATCTGTCGGGAATAATATAAACAATGCATGCTAATGATGGTCCAAGGACTGTTTCACCTTTAGAATAGCTAAGTGCTCTCGACTAATGAAATTAATGTAAGATTTTTTTTTTAATTGTGAAGAATGAATGAAATCATGTTCTTAGTAAGGGATTATCCTATTGTTTAGACCTAATTATAGTTCAAAACAACGAGTTCATATAAATGAGTTACAAATGTCCCGAAGCACAGTTATCAGCTTGAAAGAAATTGTGATTAAAACTGTCTAAAAGTTGAATTAGAAACGTATAAAAAACCAAAATAAGGTGAAGTTTACTGGTGCAGTAATATTGGTACCTTTAACGTTATTATGAGCATATAAATAACTCTAAATTACTGGAAAATAAACAAAAACAATATCAAAGCTATGTCAAAAAAAGAAACATAAGTGTTAAAATTAAAAAAAAATCTAAATTAACTTAACCTAAATCTTTAGCCTATACTCTTTCAAAAACTATATTATTTGTTTGTGCGTTTCTCTGTGATGAGTGTTCTTGCGTGTGTTTGTGCTGTATTTCTGTCACGTACTGTTGTCATTTTAGCGATATTTCTTAACATTGTCATATAAGCGGGAGGTTTGGCAAGCCATAAAACTTGGTTCAACCCACCATTTTTTTCTTAAAATGTCCTGTACCAAGTCAAGAATATGGCAGTTGTTATCAAATAGTTCGTTTCTATGAATGTTGGCGTTTGTTTTTGTTGCACATCAGTGTTCCTGTTGTTCCTTTGTTTTACTCTTATAGTTGATGTGTTGCCCTCAGTTTTAGTTTGCAACCCGGATTTGTTTTCTCTTAATCGATTTATGACTTTTGAACACCGATAAACTACTGTTGCCTTTATTTATACGATATACCATGAGAACACGAGTTTTTACCCACTACAAAAGCTCGTGGTGTAGATGCGTTTTCACCACAAATGTGTTGTTCTTCCGGTATACAAAGTCTGAAACAATTCCATTTCATAATAAAACAAAATCGTAAATTGGAATGCCTTACTAATAGTTTAAAGGACCTTTGAAGTCATAGCTAATCTGGTAATCTCATATATATCCCTACATCTTTCACGAAGGATAATTTTAGATAATCGCTAATCCACCCTTCTCTCTGTGGTGTGAACATAAAAAGGACGAAAACATCTACCGTTTTAACTGTATTCATTTATCATTGTGGGTACCAATTTGGAAAACTTACACTTTCGTGGATATTTAATTTTGTAGTTTTGCCAAAGTCTGAAAACAATGTTGAACATTTAAATTCGTGGTACCCACGAAAGCCACAAAAATTGGTACCCAACGCAAAATAATGAATATACAATATTCAACTTTTACACCAATTTTATAAAGAACGATATATAGCCAGGTCGTCTAGATATTCGACTTAACATCTTTTTTATGTTCTTACTGCCATTCTCGTTACAGTGAACTATGACATTAAAACTAGTGTGAGGAGGCACATTCAACCAGTTGTATATGTTAATTACTTAAAAATTCTAAAGATCATCTGTAAAACCCTAAATCACAAGCATTCCATTTTTTCGGTGAAATTAAATGTTTATATTTCTCTACGCTCTACACCAATAATCCTCATGCTCAATTGAAATATCGTCTACATCTGCGAATTGAAGCAGTGTTTTTTTTACTTTAATGATATCCTGTCACTCAATATGTCAAATTTTTGTGAGTGCTTACATATCATATTTCCCAGAGAACTTGAAATTTACGATTAAGGATACTACCTAAACCAGAAGGTCTGCTAAATATCTTGATCGTTTCCTTGATAATAACACCGACGCACGAATTCAAACTATGAACTATGACAAACGTGATGATTTCAGCTTTTCCATTGTTAACTTTCCAAATCTCAGAAGAAACATACTCGCTGCTTAATCGTATTGGGCTTACATATCTAATTTGATGCGTTTCGCTTTTGCATATTTATATTCACTGCTCCAGCAGGTTTGACGACTGAAATTGACGCCACATAAGTTTTACGATCAACATCACAAGTTGATAGACTGATACGAGTTTTCTGCATCACAACTAACTCACGGTGTTCGTTATTTTAATACCAGAATGGTGTCTGATCTGTAAATTTACCGATTATGTCCTATTTATTTATTGTGAAATATGACTGAAAATAGTCGCATGGTAGGGGATACATACATAGCAACCATGCCGCGTCTACGCATCCGTTCTCTCTCCATTTGGAGTTCATGCGATTCCTTCTGTTTCTGTTTTGGTATCTTTTTATTGATGGGTTACAAATGCATTTATTAGGTTTGAATATTTGTGAACTACTGTTGTCTCTAATTTGGATCTACCGGTATTTTGTTTGACGCAATTTTTTATTTAAAATATTTGTCATTTTGTTTTGTGTCCTCCTTTGTCTTATAATTTATCCCCCTTTAATATGGTAGTATTCAGCATACAATACCTGGCAATGTTTCCTGCATTTCAGTTTCAACAGTGCAACAACCATATCATCTTGGAACAGAGATCCTCATTCAAGATAATAATGGAAAAATGCGGTCTTTGGGATCGAATGAATTATATCTTGCTGCAGATGCAAAAGTTGGACTACCAGGAGTCAAAAGTCTACATGACATGCCTACCTTAATGCACGGTGAAGGGATGGATATACCTCATAAATCAAACCATCGATTTAATGGGCATGTGTCTAACAACAATGGTTATAGCAACAGGGGCCAAGTCAGGGTTATCAATTTACAAAACAATAACTTTGGAAATAATGATAAATCAACACAGGTTATTCATATACCACATTCTGGTTATAAAGAGGGATTTAACACTGATTATTCCAGACCAAGAGAACATTTCATGGAAGGTGAGATTTCAGTCGAATACCCTTTTTAATGAATAGTAGGTAATTTGATCAAGTAACAATATAATCTATCATTATTCAAATATGTCAGCACCGAATGGTTTTTTCTGGTTAAATGATATTATCCCTGTTAATATGTAAATGTAGCTCTTATTATACTTTATAATTTCTTTTAACTCATTGTCTCAAATTAACATACTTGTACTAGTACTCAAACCTAAAGAAAACCCTTTCTTAATCAATGACGGAGGTTATTATTGTTTACCATGTTTACATCACCGTTATGAAGGTAAAAAAATACTAATTGAGGAAACAAAAAAAGGCGAAAAATGCATGCTTCCAAGGAATTTATTTGAAGGGAAGTACCTAAGTCAGTCATATTTGCATGCAATAAAAGAGAAGAAAATTGTGTAAATAAACTCATCATAGATACCAGGATTGAAATTTTGTATTTACGCCAGACGCACGTTTCGTCTACAAAAGACTCATCAGTGACGCTCGAATAAAAAAAAGTTAAAAAGGCAATATAAAGTACGAAGTTGAAGAGCATTGGGGACCAAAAATTCCTAAAAGTGTTGCCAAACACAGCTAAGGTAATCTATTCCTGAGGAAGAAAAGCCTTAGTAAACTATTTAAAATTGGATTATTACAATACGTCAATGACATTTTGTGTGATCAATTATCGATGCTTATTCAGTATAATCTATTTAATATATTACTAATTTTATTGTATACATATATACTAATGCAATCGGACATGTTGACGAAGTCAGTTGACCAATAGGAATAATGGCAGACTCGCCAAAATAAGTAATAAATACTTCTGCATTTTCAAAATAGATTACATAAGCCGTTCTTTCGATTCATACGTGAAGCACTCAACCAGTTTCAACTTAGTGGGGAAATAAATCTTATTACTTGATAATTTGTGTACTGATACATTTAAGGTGCAATGTTTATTTTGAAAAGAAAAAAGTACTTTTGATATTTATTTAGCCATTTAAAAGCCATATGAAATAAGATATACTCAACTTCAAGGTTGTATGATAAATTACATATTCTTTATTGAGCAATGATACCATTTAAAGTAGTTCTTTTATGGATACTATCTGAGTTTTTATTTCATTTGGCCGGTCCTCTCCATTGCAACATACAGGTATCTGAGACACATTTGATTCCCTGTAATTTTACGTCAACTAGGAAACAGGTAAAAAATAGATGGTTGGTCATTAATTGATCCTTATATCTACTAGTATCAGAGCCAAACTGATAAAAGACAAGAAACTAGTATGATTATCTAAATAATCTCCAAATACATTTGTATCTCTTTGGGATATTTTCCTCGTCAATGGAAATCCTGTTTTGCCCCATGCTAAATTCCACTTAACCAAGTGCCATTTTGAATAATAAAAATTGCAAATGTTATTTATCTTTCAATTTTGGATGAGATGCAGTACTAGTGTTAACTATTCATACAATTTTTGTCAATATATATATATATTAAAAACCATAAAAACCATACATTTAACAGGAAACAGACCACAACAAATACATAGATATTTTGAGACGGTAACAAATGAAATCTCCCGATATATTTCATCGGAGTCACACAGAGGTATTGCCATAAAGATCCAAGCATAAGCTTTGCTTGTATGATTGATATTAACAGTAATATTGTCAGTTGTTATATATTATTAGCACATATGCAAGCCTCACGCTGTATTACTTGTTGCTGATTAACCTTGCTTAGCTCACATGGTGTTGTTTGGTTTTGCAGTCAAACCATTGTAGGTATCCTCTGTGTCTATTGTAAGCTTTATATTTTTGCTACGTAATAGTTTGTGTATATAGAATTGTTAGCTTTAAACTGTCTTTGTTCAATTTAGTACATTTTTACTTATATCTGTGATGTTTAGTTCTCATAAAACTTGTATATAGTTGTATAAGTACCTTCAAAACTCAGCATTAAGAGATTTAAAATGAAATATAATCCATTTTTTTTATCTTCATTTCTCTTGATTTTCAACTTTAAATCTGAAAACCAACAGAAACAGAATACTAGTAATATTAATTTTAATCACATACGGCATACTCTCTGTCTTTACTTTTTTTTATTTATAATATTAATTCATTTTGCAAAATCTCGTTTAAAGCATTTTTTCAGAGCCTGCCAAATCTCGTTTAATCAATCCACTGTATAGAGCCTGTCAGATTAAGTTTTTGCTGAATTTGTATTTAATATATTTTCCACTGGATATTTTAGGACACATTAGTCAAACTACACTCTCATTTTCATTTTTCCTATCGTTACTTTTTTATTGAAATGTTGAGGAATTGAGACTTTCCTATGTTTATTATATTTATTTCTTTTTCAAAATTATGTTGATAAATTGGAAAGTAAGACTTCCTAACACGTTGCAGTAGATTTATGTAGTAGACGGAGTTCCTTATTAACATGTACCATAAAGCTTATTATTAATTTTGTTTGTATTCATTCAAGCTTAAAAAATTAACTGCATGCTGAAGAAGTACAGAATGTTTTCTTTCTATTATTTAGGGCACCACTAACTGTTAGATTCTGCAAATAGTTTTATTATAATACACTATATTGCATTCACCCGGTCCGTTTGTTCGTCTAACAAACATTTCTGTCACACTTTTTGCATCAAATTAAATTTTTGACACACTTATTTTCGGGTACTTTGAATTACGATTCTTTTAACTCACAAGTTCATAATTGGAAATCTGTTGAAATGTTAGCTTAAGAATAAAACATTAAAAGAGAAACGAAAGATACATAGAAATTTGGAATCTCATAAGTCAAAATCTTTTTTTAACAAAATATAGTTTATCCATATTTAAAATCATTACCATCAAAGACGTGGCAAAAACGAAAAACGACGAAAAGAGAAATATATTACATGAATTCTAGAAATAAAACATTACAACAATCGATTCATTCGATTGTCAGTGGTAAGTCTTCTGTAGACGAAACGCTCGTCTGGCGTGCACAATTTTAATCATGGTTTCTATGATTAGTTTATCCACATTCAATAACAATAAAAGAGAAAGGTTAAGGAAACCAGGATTGCACTTTTTATTATTATGCAATACACTTTTGTTAAAAAAAAAAAATTCATGCATGTATGTGTAACGCCAAATAAAAAGACAGTGATGAAATCAAATATTTTAATTCCATTTCGAAGTTAATTGTTATATTTTTACAGAAATTATAAAAAAAGATCAGAATTTGGAATGATTTATTAATTTTACGTATTTTTTTACTTCTTCAAAGGAAACACTTTTAAACATGGGGAAAAGTATGGACCGGAATTTTCGTTCAGAATGCCACAGAAAAAAGATGGAGGAGGTAAAGTACAACGGTTAACATATTGGAAACACATATATGTTGGGGTAATATCAAAACGTTTGATGTTTCCACGCTATTCACTTCTTTTACCCTTTCTCAATTGAAAGCTCGTCTACATCGTCTCATTAAACGAAGCTTTTACAACTTCCGTGTATTAACTTTGTGAAGAACGTTACTGGTACTGACAATAAATACACAAAAGATGTTATCATAAAAATGCTGGACATTTTGACCGACACCATACTTGTTCAGATTGTTGTTGAAATTTTAACAGACAGTCAGTAAGCTGAATTTATCAAGAACATTCCTAAATGCAAAAAGAAAAAGCACCTAACAAAGTTTTATAATTTCACTGCGAATATATTGATGATATCCTGTCGCCCGAAAAACAACATTTTAGTGAGTGCTTGCATCTCATTTATCCCAATGACTTTTAAGGATACTACCCAAACTAGAAGGGCTGCTTCATATCACGATCGTTGCCTTGATATTGATACAGATTGACGACTTAAAACAAAATTCTATGACAAATGTGACGATTTCAACTTTCCAATTGTCACCTGCCCTTATCTCAGCAATCAGATAACCTATAACCTATTGTATGGCGTTAAAATACCTCAATTAATACGTTATGACCGTGCATGTTCATTATATACGGATTTAATAAACATGGATATGATCCCTAAATAATAACTGCTCAAACAAAGTTAGGAGGAAGAACATTTGCACCCGATACGACATAAGTTAAACGATCACCTTTGTGAATTGGTTGACCGATACGATTTGTAAGTGTCTCAAATTGACATGATTTTGCGGTCTTATTTCTTTAGGTACCAGAATAGTCGTCAGATCTGTAACTTTACTTATTGTTTCATTTGTTTTTATTGAGTATGGATTTGCATGGTAGGTGATGCATTTACAGAAGGAGAAGCTAAACATGTCGACACATGCGGTCTTCGCCTTTTCAATTTTTGTTTGCTACCTTAATTTGTATCTTCTAAATCGATAAATGAGATTTGAAGAAGTGAACTGCGGTTACCTAAATTGTTGCGTATGTATATTAATACTATACTATTTGTTCCCAAATGAAAGGTAAAAATCACGTTTCCTTAATTGACATAAGGAAGATCAACATAATAGTTGTTACCACTATCAACATATAATATCTATGTTTGCAACAATCTCATAAAAATTGCCTGATCACCTTAGCATATCTGTGAAAAGAAGGAAGGCGTTGATAAACATACATGTATATTAGTTTAGACGGTTGAACCAGTAAGGAAAAGCGTGTAAAAGGTTTAATATTTTGAAATAGTACTTGCATTGCTTTTTCTCTAGGGATATGTGCGTGATAACGTGTGCAGCGACTAAAAAGAAGCGTGGATACAATGCGGCGCATGCGCAAATTCCTTGATAGACCAAAGTTAAGATATTGTGATATAAAAGACGAGTTACTCCACGGAACAGAGGTGGCCTTTTGCAGTATAAGAGGCTTGGAAGTTCTGTTTAGTTCAATTATATTGTTTTGCATAACGATGAATTTAGATCAGTATGAGTAAAAAAAGACAGAAATGAATGTATATCATATGTGGCGAGATAAAAACATTGAACGAGGAGGCAATTTAATAGTAACATGGTAAGAAATCTCGAAGGTAAGAAAATAGAACCAAAAATACTTTACATTTTTTAACAGACTGAAAAGACGACAATTGAGAAAATTCAGAAGGGATAACCATTTTAGATAAGACCGCAGAGGAAGTCCGAATATTTTTAAAAGATTTACGATTTCATCACGGTCATTTACGACAAATTTTACATACAATTAATGGGTTACATTTTAATAATTTGCAGTATCCTTTTGAATAAGAAAAGAAACAAAAGTAAAGAAAGGAGAGGCGGAAACATGAAAACAAAGACATTATACAACTAAATATAATATGACTGCACAGCTAGACACATAGGTCACTTAGATCCAAAGATAATTTAAAAAAAAATTTAAGATATAAATAAGTTTAACATGAATAAATTATTATTGTGTATTTAATTCATTTGATCTAATTTCGCATAAATGAAAATAACCCTTTATTAGTTTCGTCCGTCCGAAGCGCCTTTATGGATTTAGCTACAACACGAACGCTCAATTCCAAATCTTTGAAAGCCAGGAATATTTATGTACATAATACTAGTACGTGAGGATCTATTTGATTTAAATGGACATTAAGGTGGTACGTAACACTACAGGGAGATAACTCTTTAAATATCAGCTGAACGTTTTAATAATATTCTATTGTTAAGGAATATCAAGCTTCTCAATGATCAAAATTAGTGATTGTCAAACTGCTTTATATCCAATGAAATTTTTCCGATAAATTGTGTGGTTCAAGTTTTTTTGAAATTTTTATATTTTTGTCATAGGGTCAAAGTAAATATTTTGTCAAAATTTAATGAAAATTAAACGAGCCAAATTAAATTTAGTCAAGGTGTTTGGTACCATCTTAAAGGAGTAGTTCAATTCATCTTATGCAACTTTAAAAAGCATTATAATAAATTGGACACAACTGTTAATGATTGTCCTCACACTATGGAAACCCAATATAGTCTTGAGTAACTGGACAATTATTCGTTTCAAAGAATAAACAATTTATTATTGAATTTTATTATAGACAGATAATAAAACATCATATTATGTCCTATATTTGAATAGAAGGTAGTTCAGCTTGAAGACCCTGCAGTAAAACTGTGAGAGTGTGTCCAGCAAAAACAGGTTAAGAGGTTCAATCATGTACTCGCGCATGTTCCTTAGTGCTTCTTTGCTGCAGAGCGTTATATAATTATTTTGAAATTTCGCTGAATACTTAGTTAGATATCGTTATTATACAACATTATGTTATTTATCTTAAATCTTATATTTCTTTTTAGTTATATTATTTATTTTTAACATACAAAATGTCAAAGATTTGTGTTTTGTAATTCTTTTCAAAACTGTAAAAAAAAATAATTGGAGGTAAAGCGATACAGTTCGATCATCCCTCCAATGAATCATCTGAAATTTACCTTAAATTACGATTCACTAAGAGAGAAGTTTTAGATATAAGAAGATGTGGTATGAGTGCCAATGAGACAACTCTCCATCCAAGTCACAATTTTAAAATGTAAACCATTATAGGTCAAAGTACGGTCTTCAACACGAAACCTTGCCTCACACCGAACAGCAAGCTATAAAGGGCCCCAAAATGACTAGAGTGAAACCATTCAAACTGGAAAACCAACGGTACAATCAATATAAAAAAACGAGAAACACTTATATAAGTCTTGTTTCATGATTTTATCCATTCTATTATCAGGTCCAGTTGATTTAGGTCCAGCACCAGTACCAGGTAGGTGGCTAAGTTAAGTCCTCGCATGTATCATTGCACACATGTAGAATGTGTACGACGGATGTTTATATTTTACATTATCCGTTATTGAACTTTTATTTTATTTAGTTTTTTATATCAGTTGCTTCGATAGTATTCTAGTCAGTAATTTCATAAGCCTTTAAATAAATAAGATATGTTTTACAGTTCACGATAGCAAAAAACAAAAAAAACCAAAAAAAAACCAAATGAATCATATCTTAAATCATTAATTAAAAGGTGTAACACTTTATATATGAACTAATGAATTAAATAAAAAATGACGAATAGATTCTCAACATAATCTATCTAATAAGTCAAACAAAGATAAATACGTGTTTGAAAAAAGTTTATACATTAATGTCATTATATTATAAATGTTTACTTTCCGATCGGAAGGAAGTTTATGGTATATTGCAGAATACACTCCTTATTGAACATTTTATATTATTTTGAGCCTGAATAAAAGAAACAAATGTTCTAAATATCAACTGCTTTGAAAAAAACACAATCTTTAGTATTATTTTGTTTTAATATTAATCCAGTGAAAACTTTCTTTCTATTCAGGCAGTTTTACAGGACCATCAGTTGATATTCCACCACCAGCACCTCTTCAAGGACCAGTGAACCCTGGTCCAGATTTTGGCCCTGGTCCAGATTTTGGTCCTGGTCCAGGTTTTGGCCCTGGTCTAAATGCATTTGATGGCCAATCAAATCAAAACTGGGGAATTAATACACCAAACTTTCAAGGACCTAATTTCGCCAACGGAAACCAACTTGGACCTCAGAATGTTGCCAGTATGTAGTTTCCATTTTATGATTTTGCGATGAAAAATTTAATATATGGAATCGAAATGTTGTGATTATAAAATATAGTAAGGGCATACAAAATTATAATGCATCCGTTAGTACTACAGAGAGATATTCGGTGAATAAATTTACATATTCGTGTAGAACGAATGATGTATGATTAATCTATTTGAAAACAGATCTTTGACAATCTCGAGACAGAAACTTGGCGCTCGAAGTATGATTCTGTAATTTACATGTTGTTAATATGTACTGCCTTTCGTCGTCTCATGGCCCCAGCAAGCCACAAAAAGGTCGGGAGACGTTAGGTAAAGCAACTTAGTTAAAAAGGAGAGATGGATGATCAAACTTACTATCTAGAATTCTAGATTTCTGTAAGCAATAACACTCTTTTACGTTCATCTTGGTAGAAAAAATAGAATATCTTATACTCTTATATGTATTCCAATATTCTTATATGTATTCCATACACAGATATCGCTAGTTGAAATCATTACAGATAAAAAATTTAAAAAAAGACGTTGTCTATCTTGTCGTAAAGAATAGTATTTAACCGGACCTTATTGTCGATTTCTAGATGGAAATTTGTGACAGAAGATACTTCAGCTGTATCTGTGGTAGCCTTATCGTCTAGTCCCATTTGATGAATGTGATCAATGTTATCAAACATTGCATAATGCAGTGAAAAAAAACCACCGCTAGATAACAAATTGTAAAGAAAAAGAACACTATACCCAAAAAACGTAATGCATGCAATAACCTGATTCATGATGTCCCGGTCGAGTATGTATTCCTACACAGCGAAATAGTTCTGCAGTTCTAAAATAGTGTCAACAGAATAGTTAGTGCATTTTATTCACAATTAATTAATAAATATTTCACAGGGCTTAGTGATATGCAAAACTGACCTACATCTTCACAAACTTAATAAATTCATTTAGTTTCTGAATAAGTCTGTCGAGTTTCCACGTCACTAAACTCCTCCTTTAGTTTCGGAATGAGTCGGTCGAGTTTACAAATCACTTAACTCCTCCTTTAGTTTCGGAATGAGTCGGTCGAGTTTACACGTCGCTTAACTCCTCCTTTAGTTTCAGAATGAGTCGGTCGAGTTTTCACGTCGCTAAACTCCTCCTTTTGTTTCGGAATGAGTCGGTCGAGTTTACACGTTGCTAAACTCCTCCTTTAGTTTCGGAATGAGTCGGTCGAGTTTATACGTTTTTAAACTCCTCCTTTCGTTTCTGAATGAGTCGGTCGAGTTTACACGTCACTAAACTCCTCCTTAGTTTCGGAATGAGTCGGTCGATTTTACACGTCACTAAACTCCTCCTTTAGTTTCGGAAGGAGTCGGTCGAGCTTTCACGTCGCTAAACTCCACCTTTTGTTTCGGAATGAGTCGGCCGAGTTTAAATGTTGCTAAACTCCTCCTTTAGTTTCGGAATGAGTCGGTCGAGTTTACACGTCACTAAACTCCTCTTTTAGTTTCTGAATTAGTCGGTCGAGTTTACACGTCGCGAAACGTCTCCTTTAGTTTTGGAATGAGTCGGTCGCGTTTACACGTCGGTAAACTCCTCCTGTAGTTTCGAAATGAGTAGGTCGAGTTTACACGTCGCTATACTCCTCCTTTAGTTTCGGAATGAGTCGGTCGAGTTTACACGTCACTCAACTCCTCCTAAGACATTAATTACTACATATATTGAATGTTCGTTAAATGCATGTAAATCTGTGATTTTTTCAAAAGAAATTATGCTAAGCTTATTAATATAAAACAAATATTGACATGACCTATAGTTATTAATTTCTATGTCATTTGGTTTCTTGTGGAAAGTTGTCTCTTTGGCAATCATACCACATCTTCTTACTTTTAGATGTAATATTTATCAATTTCTAATCATTCTAGATCAAGATTTTAGCATTGACTTGAGTCAAACAGGTAAGAAATATGTAATACATAGATTACGTTTTACTAATTATGTGACATATCAAAGTGAAAAAAAAAACAAACACAAAAACTATAACTGCTATAACAATGTGTTAGTATTTTCCAACTGCATTACATGAAATGCCTTAAATAGCAGTTCTCAGCTTTGAATATTCTATTTTGAGCATAGATTATACTGATGATCAATTCAAACATAAATATGAATAAATTAAGATGTTGGGTATACTTCAATGAGACATCAACCAGACGATGAATTAACCAATGAATACACATATCGTATTACTCATTATAAGTGAAACTTGTAAGGAATGCATTCTTTTTTTTCAATAGGAAATGCATGGGGAAATCAAGGATGGTCCCAAGAACAAGGGCCTACAGGATGGGAACAAGGTTGGAATCAGCAAGGATGGAACCAACAGGGAGTGTTCCCTGGAGGGGGGCCAGCAGGATTGTTTCCAGGATTTGGTCAGCAGGGAGGAGTTCCAGGTTTCAATCAAAATCAAGCTGCTGTAGCACAGCAACAAGACTTCAATCAACCGTTTGGTAATCAGAATTTAGGACCAGGAGGACCACTACCAAATATTGCAACTCTAAATAGTCCCGAAAATTTTCAATCAAGGTTTTTAGGCACGGGAGTGCAAGCACCAGTAGAGCCACTTGGACCAACAATGACGAAATCAGATGTGAATGTTGATACTATCAAACCAATACTTCCAGGAGATGTCGCTAAAGGTCCCGTGCCTTTGAATAATGCTTTTTAAATTTTTTTACCATACCACTTAAACTCAAAACTAAAGGGTAACTGATGTTTTTATTAAGTCTGTGGAAGAAAATCTCTCCTGCAATTTACTCTATTTTATTTTGCATCGTTTTATTTTCGCCAAAATAGGACCTACAAGTTTAGGAGAACAGTATTTCCAATAATCAGGAAGTGACTCAAAATGTGGTTAATAAAAATGTCAATAGGACTGTAAGCTTATTCAAATTTGCAGAAATACGATTAAAAGGGTTTTATTTGAAATTCTTCTTTACCTGTTGGAAAATGGTGTATTTACTACATTTGTTAATAAAATCATTAAAACATCAACTTTGTCCCTATAAATGGTGGAATATTTTCCCTGCACAGCAGCTATTGAATCGTATCTAACATGACACATAATAAACTCATCATAGATACCCGGGTTAAACTTTTGTACGCCAGATGAGCGTTTCGCCTTTAAAAGACCAGTGACATTCAAATAAAAAAAAGTTATAAAGGCCAAATAAAGTACGAAGTTGAAGAGCATAGAGGACACTAAATTTCGAGGGTTTTGCCAAATTAAGCTTAGGTATTAATCTATTCATAGGGTAGAAAAGTCTTAGTACTTTGATAAATTCAAAGATTCTGTAAACAGTTCATATAGAATTATGACCATATCAATGATAATTCATGTCAACACAGAAGTGCTGACAAATGGGCTGCTGATACTCTCGGTGAGGAAATTTACAGCAGCAGTGACTTCAGACCAGTGGTTCAAAAACCCATCATAGTTACCAGTATTAAAATTTTGTACGCCAGTTTATTTATAAAAGACTCATTAGTGACGCTCGAATAAAAAAGTCAATAAGGCAAAATAATTTATACATTGTCTAACCAAGGTAACAATCAATTTTGCTATTTCCATATTGGAAATGGTGTCTCTTGAGTTTTTTGTATATTTATATATTAAATTAACCGAAATAAGAAACAAAATCAATGTAGATTGTTTTCCTATGGTAATTTGTTTTGGCTTATTAATAACAACCCTTTTTCAAACATTAAGAAAGGTTTACCTGAAAATAGTTTAATTATTATATAAATAAGTAAACGATGACGGTACAGAGAAGACTGGTAAGTCCAGATTGTGGTCACATCGGACGTTATGAGTATATATAATTCACAGCAAACTAGACGTTTCTAAGCATTAGTAATTTCAAGGACTACTGAGTGTTCAAAAGTAGCATACTCCCACTCATGCATTACATTTGGCATAAAAGCTGCGAGTCAAACATATTCAAAATGACAATGAGTAATTGTAAAAGAACACCATACCTTACTAGTAATTGACATTCCCTAACCATAACAGCTTACTTGTAATTGACATTCCCTAACCATAACAGCTTACTTGTAATTGACATTCTCTAACCATAACAGCTTACTAGTAATTGACATTCCCTAACCATAACAGCTTACTTGTAATTGACATTCCCTAACCATAACAGCTGACTTGTAATTGACATTCCCTAACCATAACAGCTGACTTGTAATTGACATTCCCTAACCATAACAGCTGACTTGTAATTGACATTCCCTAACCATAACAGCTGACTTGTAATTGACATTCCCTAACCATAACAGCTGACTTGTAATTGACATTCCCTAACCATAACAGCTGACTTGTAATTGACATTCCCTAACCATAACAGCTGACTTGTAATTGACATTCCCTAACCATAACAGCTTACTTGTAATTGACATTCCCTAACCATAACAGCTGACTTGTAATTGACATTCCCTAACCATAACAGCTGACTTGTAATTGACATTCCCTAACCATAACAGCTGACTTGTAATTGACATTCCCTAACCATAACAGCTTACTTGTAATTGACATTCCCTAACCATAACAGCTTACTTGTAATTGACATTCCCTAACCATAACAGCTGACTTGTAATTGACATTCCCTAACCATAACAGCTTACTTGTAATTGACATTCCCTAACCATAACAGCTGACTTGTAATTGACATTCCCTAACCATAACAGCTGACTTGTAATTGACATTCCCTAACCATAACAGCTGACTTGTAATTGACATTCCCTAACCATAACAGCTGACTTGTAATTGACATTCCCTAACCATAACAGCTGACTTGTAATTGACATTCCCTAACCATAACAGCTTACTTGTAATTGACATTCCCTAACCATAACAGCTGACTTGTAATTGACATTCCCTAACCATAACAGCTGACTTGTAATTGACATTCCCTAACCATAACAGCTGACTTGTAATTGACATTCCCTAACCATAACAGCTGACTTGTAATTGACATTCCCTAACCATAACAGCTGACTTGTAATTGACATTCCCTAACCATAACAGCTGACTTGTAATTGACATTCCCTAACCATAACAGCTTACTTGTAATTGACATTCCCTAACCATAACAGCTGACTTGTAATTGACATTCCCTAACCATAACAGCTGACTTGTAATTGACATTCCCTAACCATAACAGCTTACTTGTAATTGACATTCCCTAACCATAACAGCTTACTTGTAGGATTTATTAAGTTTACAAACAGATACAAACCATTACATTACACTAAAGTTGATAATGCAATATTGTAAACAAACTATCCTAAAAAATTGAACTTATTCCTTGTCTCGGTTCACATTTGGTCCTTTAGTTGGTTTTATCAGGTTTTCAACGTTTTATTAAGTGTTGAATTTTCACAAATTTCGACCGTGATCATTACTGACGATCTGGCACCATAAGATTTTAAACTTAATTGTTATTATTTTGGTTACCACTAGGTCAATATATCTGCTGATGAAATTTTTTACCATTGATGTTATTACTACCACTAGGTAGATACCTCTGCTGATTAGTCAGCTCTTTTTATTATTTTGTTTTCGCGAATTTCTCTGTGAAAAAAAATGAAATCGGTACTTTGTGTCGTTTGTTTCGTTTTCTTTGTACCAATCTGTTGAATTAAGCCATTTCCTACTGATTTTTACATTACGCACAGTAAAACTCAGTTTAAAGGAAGTCCGAGTCGGTGTCAAAATAGATCTGTAACAAAAGAAACTAAGCAAAATGACAATGATACATAAATTAACAAAGGACTACTAGCAGTTACTGACATGCCAGCTCCAGACCTCAATTAAAATGATTGAAAGATTATGTCTTCATCATATGAAAATCAAATACAATCCCTCCCGTTAGGGGTTTAGTATCATACCATCATAAACTATATGAGAACAATATAACCCGTATCATGCCAACAACTGGTTTTAGAATAAATGTGTTTATTTCCGATGCAAAGAAGCGACATCCAAGTCTATAAAACACTGCATAGAAAACCAAAGACCGAAATCCGCGGGTTATCTCAGGTGCCCTGTAAGGGAGATCATTGTCCATTGTCCGTGGTGTTGCTTGTAAGTCCAACTCTGTTGTTACATTTCATACGGTGGTGTAATAGTCGATGAAAAGGTGCGGACGAATTGCTACGATTATTGGAACGTATCCGTGGTCATCTTTGGAATATCGTATCAATTTGGATATTAAATACGCCATATGAAGGGGCTTTTCTTGTACACATGTATGTTGCTACATAGAAACGTAAATTTGTCGATTTGAAAGCTGAAATCATCTTTATTGTTGTAAAGTTTTGTTTTAAACATACCTTCATTGTCAATTTCTTTTTGTAAGTCAAGACAGGAGGCAGACTTAATCATATTTGTGGTATCCTTTATTTCGAATTCGATAGGCTATATAAGTTCAACGTAGTCACCACAATTTGAATTATTTAACGAGATGTATTAAAGTGGAACATGAAGTTTAAGGATAATGTAAGCTACATGTCATTCTTCCTGTGAAACATTGTAAAAAAATAAACAACAACCAGATGCAACAGGATCACAAGTTGCGACTTTCGTATGTGTATTCATATTTTCAATGAAGCAATAAAAAAGGGGAAAAAATAAAAAATATTTAACTAAAAGTTATTACATGGTCCTGCAGGAGAATAAAATAATTCTAGGTATTGAACTATTGCCTTAAATTTACCATGGAAAAGTCAAATAAAATGGATAAGCATCTTATTTATGATATCGTAAGGTTGTCTACTTTCACTAATCCAATCAACAGTGTAAAGTTTCAGGTATATAAAGCTTAGAATACTCGAGTTAGAGAACGAAATCGAAACTGAGCTTTCTGTCATCAATAAAAATATCTCATCAAAAAGAAATTTGATCAAAGCAATGGCCAGTTCTTGTACAAGGTGTGGACAGACGAACCAACAGACAGTCGCTTACTGACAGACAACAGCAGACCATCATACGACAGAACTACATGTATGACTGGTGTGAAAAAAGAATGTACAAAACGTAAATGAATAAAAAAATGATATTTGAGCGAAATAATACTACAATGGTCATAATTGTTTAAAGTATATAATCTCCAAATGATGAACGGATAAGCGATGCAATAGCTTAAAATCATTTTTATAAAATATGAGACTAAGTTGTCATATTCGGCACACTTCGGCATATTACACAAGTCTATTGTAGGGTACCGAAGTTTGCCGAGTTTTGCCGATTGATAGTTGTCGATCAGCAGCGACATCCAACGTTTGGTATACAAGCTTCTCCCGGTTTACAACACTCTATTTTCCCAGGAAGATATTCACATCTCTTTTTACCGGTACAGTCACTTGTTCGTGATACCTAAACGATAATTACAATAAGTATGATAATCATAATAACAATAATAGAAAAAAAATACCTACTAAGAACATGTAATTCACATTGAGGAAACCGTCATGTATAGACATTTTTTTATGTTTGATTTCTGCGACAACGGACACAAAGTGTTTGCGACACTTTACCTATTATATATTGAAGTAATTCAACAATCGATTTTGCTCCGGCGTCCAACACTTTTTATTGTAAGGAAACAAACTTAAGAAAACGTTTCAAAATGTTCAATGACATCAACGGTAACAATTTTACCTCACCATATACTTTATATGTACGCATTTCGACAATTAATGTCTCTTCAGTAATGCTCCAGGCGAAATATCTTAAAGTCCAAAATCATAATACAATATTTAAGAGCTGATAAAATCAAATAGGACCAATAATTACATTATTACTGAAAACAATCACAACCAACATCAAGAATACATTTTTATCAAGTACTAGCTATCAGAATTTCAAAGGTACAAGTAATATAGGACAGGTGCAAATAATTGCAGCGGGTTTAAACGTTTTAATGGTACCAAACATTCACCCTTATCTGAAACAATAGTGTAACATAACAACATAGAAAGACATACTATAAAATATTAATTGAAATGGCTTAACTCAATCAAAAGACATATTAACACCATTATAATATAATTGTCAGTGTATTGATATTAAACACAACATTTTCATTTGTTTAAAGCCATGTTTAAATCTTCAAATCTCCTTACGCTTGTCGTAACTTCCAAAACCGGCTAAATATCAAAAGGATATACAATTCTGGGGGTTTGCAAATTTTTACATTGACATTTGTATAAATGTCGCTGTATTCAATGTGGTAACACAAAAAAAATGTTCATGAATCTCAATTTACCAGCATTGTAGTCTACACGGGAATAACAACAATTCACGTAGATGAGATGTCAGTCCATACATTCACAGAACAAAATGCATTGAAAAAAGGTATGTTTAAGAAAAGGTTACACTGATTGAAAATGGACACGGGAAACGTGCCAAAGAGACAACGGCCCGATCAAAGAGAAGAAAACAGTCCCGTTGAAGGCCACATTAATTTATTTCGTTTAAATACAACATGACATTTTTTGGCAAAGCAAAGTATATTGTTTATCAATTCTAATCATACCACATGAGATTATTGCAGGTTTAAACATCCTAACTAGTACACATTTTGTTTAGGAGCTAGCTGACGACCGCCTCCATGTGCGAAATTTTATCGCTGTGTTGAAGGCCCATTGGCGGCCGTCGGCTGTTTTCTGTCCTTTGGTCGGGTTATTGTCTCTTTGACACATTCCCCATTTCCATTCTCAACTTTATTATATTCGTTATCCAATTGATCCTATTGTCAATGTTTTTGGACAACAAAACATGTTTAAACTATAAACTATCCAAAAAGTGTCTCTTATCTGTTTTTAAACGGTCGGGAGTAAATCGTCTTCGGTCCGACAGTGTCAAGCATTTATTTGTGTACATATTCGTAGAAAGAATGATTTTTACCAAGGAGATGATATTATGTCATATCATAAAACAAAAAACGTCAATTAATGGGCATTAATAAAAGGTTACGTAGAATACCTCTCAATGAGACAACAACCCAACACAATCGTTCCAAGCCTAGAAAAGTAGTTATTAAAGAGTTTTGGAAGGTTCGAAGACAAAATAACATATTCTATAAACAAAAACCTCGAGAAGTTTTTAATTTCTGTACAGTAAGACATTCTTTATAATTTTGCTTTAGCGTTTTGAAATCTCTTAATTAGTTTGAAATTGTAATGTTTGAAATTTAAACATTAAATTTGTATTAGTTTTTAATTGTCATATAGTTGTATGAATAAAAGAAGATGTTGGACATACGTCAACAAGACAGCAATCGAACGACAGAGATAATCAACAGACATCTAGACGGCAACACACACGGTCTTCAACAATAGGAGAGTGCCAGTATACAATAGAAGAAGAAGAAGAAGATTTTTATTTCCAATTATGGGCCCCAACGTCAATAATTTTCATTATCGCTATTTTACGAAATTTTCCTTTGATCTTGCTGACAAATAATTTCCTTTCTCAGTGGAGTCGAGTGATATGAAAATTATCGCTAGAAACTAAGGGGGCACGTGACGTTGCTAATGAAATTGACATGCATGAAATTGACATGCATGAAATTGACAACGTCGTCATATGTAAAATAGCGATAAACAGATTATCATTGGTCATCTCAACTCGACTGCTTTTCTCACTTTCGCCGTACAGGCTCAAGCGAGAAAATCAATCTCGTTGAGATGATCAACGATAATCTATAATAATACAATACAAACAATATATTAAGTCTTAATTTTCCATAGTAAATTTTACAGAAACTATCAAAGATCTTTCATCAGCACCAAATTCTTTTAGTACTTAACAAAAGACATTATACATCCTCTGGCGAGGTTTAAGACTTTCGACAGACACTAAATCGAATTATACAGTGCCCTCTTACGGTCAGTTTCATCCAATGTAATGATCGTAGAAAGCGGAGTATAATGACTGAATTAATCGAGTTGACAAGCACAAATAGTTTTTAATCATTGGCAATTTTATGCTGGCGATAAATTTTTCATAAATTTATAGATACCTACCCGCAATGATTTTTTTAGTAAAGGATCGACGACTTTGTTCCATTCGGCTACTGTCCAGGCAGGGTCTGCGGCTACAACTACATCGTTAACCATGAACGTAGGTGTTCCAGTTACTCCTCCTACAAAAGAATCAAAAGAAACATAGAAATGAGAAAGAACAACAAATATGAGAAAATCAGAGGCCGGTAATTCAGTCGTAGTAGTTGGTCGCTGATTGTCGCAGTAGTTGGTCGCTGTTTGTCGTAGTAGTTGGTCGCTGTTTGTCGTAGTAGTTGGTTGCTGTTTGTCGTAGTAGTTGGTCGCTGTTTGTCGTAGTAGTTGGTCAGTTGGTCGCTGTTTGTCGTAGTAGTTGGTCAGTTGGTCGCTGTTTGTCGTAGTAGTTGGTCGCTGTTTGTCGTAGTAGTTGGTCGCTGTTTGTCGTAGTAGTTGGTCAGTTGGTCGCTGTTTGTCGTAGTAGTTGGTCGCTGTTTGTCGTAGTAGTTGGTCGCTGTTTGTCGTAGTACTTGGTAGCTGTTTGTTGTTTGTCGTAGTAGTTGGTCGCTGTTTGTCATAATTGATTTTCGTTTTCTTGTTTTTTTTTTTTTAATTATAAAGCAGCCAGTTGGTTTTCTCGGTTGAATTGTTTTACATTTTTGTCATGTCAAGGCCTTTTATAGTTTATTATATGGTGTAGTTTTGCTCATTATTGAAGGCAGTACGGTGACCAGCCATATAATTTGGACGGATAGTTGTCTCATTTGTAATCAAACCACATCTGCTGTTTACGTACAATGTTCTGATTACTATCTCTTTCAGTAGTTTTTCTATCTTGACAGCAGTATAGTATATTATCAATATTTGTGTTTTTAAATGATAAACGAAATTAAAGGAGTAAGGGAATAAAAGTAAGAGACACAGCAATTCAAAAACACAAGGAAAAAAATACCCATTGGAATACTAATAACATGCAACCAGAATGAATCCAATGATAATGATACAAATACTAACGGATTTGCACATCAAAGATAGTGTATATAAGCTACACAATATTTCATGGCTAACTTAAATAAAATCCGATTCCAATGGTTTAAATATTCCTTAACACAAAATTACAACTTGTAAAGTTTTTAGCATTATCTGACATCTGTATAACAATTTTCTCTTTGTGTAAATGGTATCAGTACTCATATTTAACCAGTTAAAAGAATGTCTAAGCGATTTTTGTTTTTCCCCGGAAAGAACTATATGATTCGTGACGATTCTGTTATAATATAGGACTTACTTGAGCATGCGTACTTCCATGCAATTCTGCAATCTTCATTTACCATTTCATCAGTTGCCAATTTCAAGAATTCTGTTTCTAACATGCCCATGCTTTTTGCAAGTTCAGTCATTTTCCTGAGCGAAAAATAAAAATTCTGATAAAAAACATGGTTAGCTAAGTTTTTTTTAGTGAACTGAAATGGCAATGTGTGTACTTTGAAATGACAATGCCTCGGTTTTCGCATTTTTTTATTCACCTCGAAAATTTGCTATGGATCATAGTATTTGTTGCCAAGCATATTAAAACAACAAATTGAAGGCATGTCCGTGTTTAACATAGCTGTTATGAAATTTCTATGTATCTCACTTGACCCTTTATAAGTTGAAAGTCATAAATACGCTTACGTTGTAAAGAATTTTACTTACGTTACTACTTGTGCCTGTGTTAATGTCACATCTGAGAATTTGACAATATTGTTGTAAATTTGTTGTATCCAGGTATATGTCATATTCGTTTTCGTCAGCTTGTCAACAGCATGTGTTCCCTTAAAAACATAAATAAGACTATAGGTGGATATACAGTGATTAAGCTACTTACAATGTATTCATGTAAAACATAAATACGACTATAGGTGGGTATACAGTGATTAAGCTACTTACAATGTATTCATGTAAAACATAAGAAACACAAACAATATTATTAATTATACCTAAAAGTGCTTAAGTTCAGTTCAGTGGTTGTCGTTTGTTGGTGTGGTTCATAAGTGTTTCTCGTTTCTCGTTTTTTATATAGATTAGACCGTTGGTTTTCCAGTTTGAATGGTTTCACACTAGTAATTTTTGGGGCCCTTTATAGCTTGCTGTTCGGTGTGAGCCAAGGCTCCGTGTTGAAGACCGTACTTTGACCTATAATGGTTTACTTTTATAAATTTTGACTTGGATGGAGAGTTGTCTCATTGGCACTCATACCACATCTTCTTATTTCTATTAAATATATTCAACAAGTTACTATATATGAATACCAAAGTTACAAGATACCGAAATTGATTTATTAGGCATTTAAAGTTTTTCTCACCATTAGTATTTAAAGGGGAACTAGCTACGAGATATAGAAAAAAATAAAATATGATTTTTTTTTGTTCAATCATTAATGAAAGTGAAATAGTAAAATAAAAATTCTCTTTTAGCAGCCAGTTTGGTTCAGTTTTGTTAAAATAAGCAAAAGAAACATCGCTACTAAATTATTCACTTGCAAGTGAATAGTCCGACCTTATTAAATCCGTATTCATGTGAACTTCAATTGAACCTCTTAGCTAGAGATTGGTTACGCATGAACAAGGCGTGTTCAGCTAGTAAAAGGAAAAGAATGTCAACATTGAAAGTAAAACAAGGGTAAACCATTTGATTGACTGATTCGATCTACAAAAACTCATTCTTATACAGGTAAAAACGATGATTAACATATTGTTTTAACCTATAATATGAAATCAAACAGACCTAGAAAAATCCAATTGCACGAGTTTGCTATCTATTTATATCTTTGTTTATGTTTATATTTGGTTATATAACCGTCGGCCGTATTCGGAAGGTCACCTCGATGGTTAATTAGATGGCGTCTAGACTAAAATACACACGAAATGCTGATACAAAATATCGAGTTTATGCATCGTAAACTGTTATTTTAGACCTTTTTTATTTGGATATACGTTTTAGTATGTTATAAGTCGAATATGAGAATTTGAGTCAAATCGATGAACATGAATTTGACAGCTAGTGCCCCTTTAAAACAAATGGTGGAATCCAAAATAATCTGATTTGGAGAGCAATAAAGCCAAAGAATTATACCGAAGGGGATCCTAAAACCAAATAAGGACCGTCTAACTATGTATCTGGAGGATATTATAACATAAGATTGTTAAATTCAAAAAGATTTAGTCGGGGACGCACTGTCCACCAGCAGTGGCATCGACTTAGTATTAGATATACTAAAACACTTTAGGAGTAACACGGCGGGTGTCATATGTGGAGCAGGATCTGCTGATCCTCCCGGAGTACATGAGATTGTTCCCGGTTTTTGGTGGTGTTTATGTTGCTTATAAATATAAAAAGATGTGGTATGGTTGCCAATGAGACAACTCTCCACAAGAGACCAAATGACACAGACATTAGCAACTATAGGTCACCGTACGGCCTTCAACAATGAGTAAAACTTATACCGCACAATCAGCTATAAAAGGCTAAATGAAACACAATTAAACGAGAAAACTAACGGCCTGATTTATAAACAAAATAATGAACGAAGAACAAATATGATATACAGCAACAAACGACAACCACTTAATTACAGGCTTCTGACTTGGGACCGGCACATAATTTCTGTTTGTTTGTCTTTTCTTCCCTGTGGTATAATCCGTCTCTTCCTTCTTTTAACCGAAATTAATTTGACATACTTAAGCCAATAATGTACAATTTGGAGAAAAAAAATGTATAGAGAATTGCAGATTACTGAACATTGTGCTGAATAAATATATGAGGGTCTGGATGGGGTTACCAGAATAGAGACTATTAGGCAAATCATAGATAATGAAGGGTCCAAAAAATAACAATAGAGAAAACTAGGCCAAAAAATAAAGAATAGAGTGTAATGGGGCGCTAAAAATATAGATTGGAGAATAACGATCAAAAACAATGAATAATACGGAAATGAATGCTCCCCATCCAGACCCTATGAGAAATGAAATAAAAATATAACATAGAACAAAATGTCAAAACTTGGCAATATTACTCTAAAACGCAGATGGTAAGTATTTTAATTATAACTCAAACATTGTGTTAAAGCAGGGAATTAAATCATTATCTCTCAAGAATGAAGATCTTTGGTTTATGTACTTGAAATAGAAAATATATTGTACTTACCATTGCAATTAAGAATGAATTATGATGATATGGTAACGGAAAGAGATGGATCTGAAGTCTGAGTTGTTTTGGGCCATAGTAATCCGCTACTTTCTGTATTGTTGGGAATGTTTCCGCACTGTCTGGACACAGATTGTCAATGTATACATCTAGATCTACCGGAGCGCTGGCGTTTCCCCATCCGTACACAAACCCTAAAGGTCTGTGAGGTATAGGAACTTGCGCAAATGCAACAGGCAGTAAACACAAAATAATTTTACACAGCATTTTCAGGGTGATGATTTACAACGAAATGACAGAAGCTCAATTGTGTATCTTTTATTTAAACAGAATAATCACATGAATTAGCCACGATATCAGCTGACAACAGATAAATTAAATATAATCTGTGTAAATATGATATTAAATTCAATGTGTAATCATGATTGTACAAAATTTTAAATCTACCATATTATTATTGTAAATATTATACACAGCAATTATAACTAAGTTAATATGTTGTTTGTTGGTGTTTAACCACAACTCAGATTTCACTTCATCAATACTTGGACGAATTAACTGACCCTTCCAGACAACTTAAATTATGTTAATTATTATATAAAGAATTGATAAGTTTTCTGTGTACTGTATACATGTTTTTTTTTTGGTGGTTAAATTAAACAAATATTTGTTTTGTAGTTTATGCTAATGTTGTAGTTTTCACTGCGCTATTTTGTTTAGGTTTAATTTTTGATTTAAAAAGTATTTAAATTTATCCCTTTTCTAAACAACTGATAAGTTAGCGTTAGAATGGAAGATGTAGAAAGAGAAAAGAAATATGCTTTGATTTTTTTTTTTGGAAAAATGGAAGGTTTGCTAATGTTTTGGAATAGATAATTTTTTACTTGACATATTGTGTTTAAATCTTTGTCACATGTTCATACACTACAGGAAAGGAAACTTGGATAACAGAATCTCGTTAAATCTTAGTTTGAACCAGTGGCAAAGGGACATCTACAAACGCTGATCTGTACAGTTACTTTGGTAAGAAATTCTAGCAAAACAACAATTAAAAAAGTTATCTAAAACGAGCATTTATTATAAAAAATACAATTAAAAGCCTCAGTCAAACTTTCAGGATTTTTACTGCCGTCATTGACAAGACTATTCCCAATTAAAATTTGTCAAATGTCGGGACAGCCTCGGTAGTATTGTAATAGCGTGCTCCCCTCCTGTCGGGTCAAACCAAAAACTTTAAAACTGATTTTTTTCTACGTTTTCTTTAAGCACACGGCATTAAAGAGTAAGCCTGAGCAAAGACTTATTGACTCCGAGTCGGACTAATTATCCGGTAGACTGCTACCATGCGATCTAGTACGTTTATAAGTTGTTCTTGACTTTGAACTGGCTTTCAGACACTGCGAGTTCTCTCAGATCTGAACTTTATGACTTTTGTGCTTTTGCTGTGTTTTTGAAAAAAAAATTAAGAATTTTAGTATTTCTTTCTTATTATTAATAATAGGATAACTATATTGGTATGTGCGTACCTTGCAGGGTCCTCGTGCCCGTCAGACAGTTTTCACTTGACCTCGACCTCATTTCATGGATAAGTTTTCGTGGTCCATATCTCAGATACTATAAGCAATAGGTCTACTATACTTGCTGTATGGAATGATTGTAAGGTGTGCATGTCCAAATGGCAGGTGTCATGTGACCTTGACCTCATTTTCATGGTTCAGTGGTTCAAGTTAAGTTTTTGTGTTTTGGTCTGTTTTCTAATACTGTATGCAAAAGGTCAACTATATTTGGTGAATGAAAATATTTTACGATGTACATTTCAGTCTGGCATGTTGAATTTGACCATGACCTCATTTTTACGGTTCATTGCTCAATGTTAAATTTTAGTTTTTTGGTTTGTTTTTAATACTATAAGCAATAGGTCAACTATATTTGGTGTATGTAATGATAGTTAGGTGCATATGTCTGTCTGACAATTATCATCTGACCATGATCTAATTTTCATGGTTCATTGGTCAATCTTAAGTTTTCCTTGATAAGTTTGTTTCTCAGGTACTATACGCAATAGGTCAACTATATTTAAAGCATGTAATAATTGCAAGGTCTACATGTCTGTCTGGCAGGGTTCATCTGACCTTGACCTCAATTTCATGGTTCATTGATCAATGTTAAATTTTCCTGGTTAAGCTTGTTTTTAGATACTATGTGCAATAGGTGAACTATATTTAATGCATATTTGGTGTATGGAATGATTGTAAGGTGTAGATATTTGAAGATGTGGTATGAGTGCCAATGAGACAAATCTCCATCCAAGTTAAAATTTATAAAAGTCAAAGTACGGTCTTCAACACGGAGCCTTAGCTCACACCGAACAGCAAGCTATAAAGGGCCCCAAAAATTACTAGTGTGAAACCATTCAAACGGGAAAACCAACGGTCTAATCTATATAAGAAACGAGAAACGAGAAACTCTTATGAACCACATCAACAAACGACAACTACTGAACATCAGATTCCTGACTTAGGACAGGTGCAAACAAATGCAGTGGGTTTAAACGTTTTAATGGTACCAAACCTTCACCCTTTTTCTGAAACAATAGTGTAACATCACAACATAGAAAGACACACTATAAAATATCAACTGAAATAGCTTAACTCAATCAAAGGACATATTAACACCAGTGAACATACACTGAACAAATAAATTTGACCTATGATACAATGTACAATGTAAATACAAAATAAATAAACTAAGGGAAGAATAATAAAAGTAACATGTTATACCGCTATGAAATGTTAAACAATTTAAGAAAAAAAATATGCTCGAACAAAAATATCAGCCATTTGCAATTACTTTAAACACAGGTAAATGAAAATAATTTTGTACATGTTTTTCCAGTTTGGTTTATCTGACCTTGACCTCATTTTCTTGGATCATGTTAAGTTTATGTGATAGTTGTAGTAAAGCTTTATATTTAGGACTATCAACATAAAATCAATAGTCAGTATGGAAGGCGAGACATTTCAGCGTGTGCACTCTTGTTATAGTTTGTTCTTTTTTTTTTTGATTTTCTGCAATTCAATTCTATGCAGATTATTCTATGCATCATACACAATCAGATACAAATCTCGGATTTTGAAGGAGCAATTCAGGCAACGTTAGGAGTGGGACAATGAAAACGTATATGAATTAACCTTAATAAAGCTTCAACAGTTTTGGCTGGTTCCCATGTCCCCTTAATTCCCTTCTGACGACCATTTTCTCCATTATTTCGTATGACCTAACATTGTGTTTGTGCCCTGCCGAGTTTCGTCCAAGAGTAAAAACTGGTTGCCATAGTAAGGCGTGAGTAACAATCAATCATTGAACTTTTCTGTATGAAATCTTTTTCAAAGAACAGTAACATACATTATAATGTAGGACAGCATGGTTCCATATCAATAGGTTTCAATTTGAGTCTGTTTAAATTAGCTGTCAGCTTAACTATCTTTAATACGGTTTGAAATATTGTGTTTAAACGTAACTATGAATTTGTGAACTATACCACTATTTGATAGTTAAATCCTTTCCTAGTGGTGATTTTTATTGTAAGTTCTTTTCTGCTATTTGTGTTAGTCTACTGATCGAGATGAGAGAGGGGGGAGGGTGTGTTATTAAGCAACTAGCTCAATCCTACCACATGTCAATGTGCATGCCGGAAACCGCGTCAGTGCTTCTTTGGTGTCATATATCTAAACGTTTTCTTTATTACAATTGTATTGATGGTATATTTATAATGGTTTCTGTTTAATTTATTCACAACTTGTATATTATTATAATCGGTGCTAGAAGAAACTTGACACAACACATGTCTATCAATGAACCCTATTCGTTGCCATCTAGGTAATTCTTTGGTTATTTGTGTGGTTTATTTGTTGTTAAAATGACGTATACTCGACATTTGATATTATTTACATTTTTGTAGCGTGCCTTCCTAAATTGTCGAGAATTATTCATAAGACATACACACTGTCAAATTTTAAATTGTTTAATAGCTATTAGTAAAACGATGAACCAAGATGGTTTCCATGCTTATATAAATGTATGTCACTGTGTCGTATTTAAAATTGCCTTAACTGTCTGCACCTGAAATGAAAAAAAAGAAATTCAAAACCGTAGAATTGATAAATCAGCAAATAAATACTTATTTAAACAGAATTTGAAATTAGATTAAAAATTTTTTTTCTCTAGTTGTTGGGAGAATAAAACGGTTATCAAACTAGAGATGATAATAATAGAGAACCTCGAATTATATCCAAATGGTAAATGCAAAGATAAATCAATGTCGAACTTTTTATGACGTCAAATGTGATGATGTCACAATTATAATATCAGAAGGAGACAATAATTTGAGTCATTATTTAATTATGAATAACGAAAACTGAAAACAAGCAAGCATGCATACTTTTGTAACAGAAAATCATTTTATGTTGAGGAAAGTTTAAATCGGCTACGGATTAGAGAAATATAAAATATGTTTTTTTTTCAGAAACCGATTTCAATTATAATTCAGGAACAAATATTTTTTTGAATTTCAAATGCATTTACAGCAAATGATACCATACGGTAAAAAAAGGTATATACATGCTTATTATTACCTTTTATACTTGGTTCAGTATTGGGTCGATTATTTTAATCCAGTCAGCTTCTGACCTGTTGGCTTGGTCATCGTCTGCCACTACTACGTCATTTATCATAAACGTCGGAGTTGCTTTTATTCCCCCTTAAAAAGATATTTAACACTGGTGAATAAGCATTGTAAGATATAATGTGGATTAACATACTAGGAATTTATCCCAAGAGAGCAACAGCATGCAAATAACTGAAGAACGGCACACGCGACATTTCAACGATCATCAAAAGGTCAAACAAGATGGACAGCGGAAGAATCAATCTCTGGCGCAGAGCTCACATCCGTTCCGTACTTACTTCTTATCACTACACTGAATATGTCATTGTTGCGTAGTGTACTGATGAGTATACGGAACGGAAACAACGAAGCGCTGTACGGAGATTGCGCAAGAATGTCAATTCATAAAATCTTCCTTAATTTATAAACGTCAATACCTTGAAAACTGTATTTTTCTTCAATAGTCTTGTTGGAACTATGTTTGTGTAGTGGACTGGGATAGTTTTATTCGAATTTAGCAGTTTCAATCGATGTGTTATTTGCAATAATGCTTATTATTAGAATGCAAAACACAATTATAAGTGGTTGATGTTTTTATAAT